GCAGATGAGAAACTTGAATGGCTATGGATGCAATAGGATGTGCAAGTGGGAATAGAGGAGCTGCCTAGGGGACCACTGGCAGAAGCTCTATATTTGAAATCTGAGCTGAATGTGGAACTAGTGCCTAAGTCATACATCCATTAAGTGAAACAAATAATAGCTTAAAGATTATCAGCTTAGATGCATGCTCCTCCTATCTCCCAAAATTTTGTCACAGCAGAGGCAGAAGAAGCATGAAGTGAATGTGTTTTTTTGCTATACTATTGATGTTTTCCTCAGAATGGCTGCTGGACTCGTGTTCTTGCTTCTTGGGCTATTTCACCATTTCTCTTGTTCTTACTGTGCATGATAAGCAGTTTATACGATGTTTTGATCCATATCGTGTACATACACTCTCCTCTCTTATTTTAGCACCTTGCACTTGACATTTATTGCTTTTGTGATCTTTTACAGATAGACATTCAGAGTATGCTTCAGTAGATTTGTTTAAGATAGTGCTAAACAGGTGCACGGGTCTCCCATGGGGAAATGTATGATGCAATCTGAACTGTTGTCACATCCCACACAACTTTTTTTTAATTTAGTTTTGTGACATACACTCATACTTTGCTAGCAATGAACTTGGTTGTAGTGTAGCAGACATCTAGCTTCAGTACTTGTTTCTTTAACAGAAAGTTCACTTTTCAGAGCATCACTGAAACTTAAAAAAATAAAAATCCGCCTCCCTTTTCCTTCCCCCCTCCTTCTTATTTCCTCCCCCCTCAAAAAACCCCAAACAAACTTTCCACATGCTTCAAAGTTACTTACTGGAAATTAATCCAAATCCCATTGAAATGAATGGAATTTTTTCTGCTGACCTCACTGGGCTTTGGATCAAGTGGTAGACATCAGGAAAAATTTCCTGTATGACATAGTTTTACCATTTAAGTTCATTCTTCTCCATGCTGCAGGCCTAGCCCTGACCTGAGTTAACATAAAATTGAAAAAAGTTATATACTAAAATCACTGGAACCTTTTTTTGGTCTTGTATTGATTTTTGTCTTAAAAGCTACAAAGCTTCCTGAAATCAATTATTCTACACTTCTAATTTGCAGCCACTATAAGAGCCTGCCTCTTACACTGTTGACCTTGAAATTGTTTTAGTTCAAAACCATTTTCAGATTCTACTAGTTAATCAGTGTCCTTTAAAAAATTTTAAACGTAAGAATATATTGCCTGATAGGCATGGCTATGGAGCCAAGCACTTGTTACTTAATATCCTGTTAGTATGGTATGATGAATACAGTTCAGTGTTTGCTGGTTACTGAGGAAAAGATTCACGAGAAATCTGTCTGTGTGCTTCATTAGTGATCATTTGAGACCTGATCCAAAGTCCATTGAAATGTATAGGAGTCTTTCCATTCACGTCAGTGGGCTTCAGTTCTGATTTCAGGTTGGCAGTATCCAGAGTGTGACAAAAGAATTAAATAATCAGGGCTTGCCTTTATGAGAAGACTATATAATACTGTGGCACAAGCTAAGACAAAAATTTACTCTCGTTTTGCAGTTGTTTAAAAAAAAGAGAGGTCATGTTTAACATCATGTCAGCTGGGTAAACCTAACTGGAACAAGGGTCCATGTTTAGCTGATATCAATGAAACACAAGCATTTGTAATGACTGCTGATTTACTAGTTATTGCAATTTCTTAAGTATATGTTTAAACTGGATGAAATTGTCTAGTGAAAACAAGCTCTTGGGTTCATGGCATAGGATCTAATCCAAATCCCGTAAAGTCAATGGGAAGTTTCCAACATGTTCTATAGAATTTTTTATCACAATGGGCCAATGTCTGATATTCTTTGCCCAACCTAAGTAATATTTTACTACTGGAAATCAATAGGATTATTTGGCAAATAAGGAGAACAGAATTTAATCTAACATAAGGATGACAGGATCTGGCCCTAAATGTTTTGATTTCAGTGGCACTACTTGTGTACTGCTTGACATAAGGATTGCAGGTATCAGCCCTAGCAATTCCTGTGTTTAAGTGCAGTATAAAGTAGACTAGCAAATTGCCTGTCAAGCATACCCCACCCTCCTCTCCCTACCAGTTTGGGTCCAACCCTGCTCCTCCTCCCCCCTTCTGGTCAGACCCCACCCCCAACTTTGGGTTCAACACCACCGCCCCACTTCGGGTCTGAACCCCCCCTTCTCCCCCATTTTGTGTCCAACCCATCCCCCTTGGTTCAGGTCTAACTCCGCTCCACCCTCTACCCCCCGCCGCTTTGGATCTGACTCTTCCCTCCCACCCCCCGATTCAGGTCTGATGTCCACCCCTGGCCCGCACAGCCAATCGGCACGTATGTAATTGGGCAAAAGCGTTACAGATACATAAACACACAGAAAGACTAAGCCTTTTGTTATATTAGAATAATGAGAGACATGATATAATGCATCTAAAACTAAATTTATTTTATAAATAATTATTACTAATTGCATCCATTTCAGAGCTAAAGGAGAATCTGTAGGGTACATGGTATAATTCAGTAGGAGGAAAATTCTTTGAGTAGGTAGGTATGTAAAATCAGCCATAACTAATGTTTGCATTTAAACTACACCAAATGATGAACAAATTACGAATCTGGAAAATCTGAGGTGTTGGATCTGAAGGCTGTGATTCTCAATATGTCATTGCAAATGTATTTGGTCTAAAGTTTGGAGTTATTTGTAAAATCACAGGAATCAACCCATTTCATTTTCCCAAAACAAGAGAGAAGTGCTTTAAATTCAAGCAAACAGAAATATTATTACTTAACTATTAATTTTAATACATTAAGCATCGGGATAAACAGATTTCCTATAACACCCCAACTGGTACAGAACATTTTATATCAGAAAAGAAATAAGACACCCACTAAAAAGCTGCCAGTGTCAAATAATCACTTATTTTGCTGTTGTTAATTTGCCCCTATATAAATGACAGGGGCATGGTTAGCAACAGGAAACCATTTCAATCCACCAAATGCTTGTGAAAACTTGTAGAATGGTATTATATTAAAAATCTGTGTAAGACTACATGTTTTGGACTTAGTGTTTCTCTCACATACACACAAAACAAGAAAACCAAAATTATCTTGACCTATCAAAAGCGGAATGCATCTTACACTGCTAGGGACACATCAGTGGATTTGTAGTTCAGGTGGATTTCAGGTTTGATGTCATATACCATGTTCAAAAGTTTTTTCATCATGCTTTCCATCTCTTTGTGAAAGTTACTGGTGACAGCTTGGATTTTTTCTGTTGTTTGGTCTTCTATTTTAGTGGAGAGGTTACCCTGGGAGCCCATTATCTACAAGGGCAAAACAAGAGAGACCTTCTAAGCAAGAGAAAAACTCTGAGCTAAATAAAGGCTTACATCATAGCCATGTTTATTGTAGCTGACACAACCTCTAAGAATGTGTATCTGTGTCCCAACAGAAACATTATGCAAACCTTCCAGAATGCTCTCTAAGAGTAATAGTTTAACTTAGATTGAACCATGTGAATAATCAGCAGGATTAATGGGAATTCTTTTGAACACTTGTTAATAGTAGAGCCTCCCAGTGTAATGCCGATTTCCAAAGTTACTCCGATATATAGCAATTGATTCTACTATAAGAGATTTTCTCTTTTTCAATATTTTCCTTATATTGATTCATTCATGAAGTGGTATAGAGAAGTTCTATCACTAATTAGTTTGCTTTAACTTCTCTGAGGCAATCTAAATGTGGTCATTGGGTTATATACACTTCTAAAGAAAGAAAGAAATGAAGAGCTCATAAATTACTGACAATATCCTCAGCAGTTAGAAATATATAACCATCCGTGGGTCTCATATAAGGTGTTTTAAGCCAGCTACAGACATTATACTTTTACCAATATAAGTGATTAGAAACTGGTCTATACCCACAACAGAGAAGAAGTTTGGCACCCAAAACCAGTCTATATCCATAACAAAACAGAAGTTCAGCACACAGACTGGTTTAAATATGGTGGAACCTGATTTAAGATTTGGGCCTTCCTTTCCCTCCACCCCAAACCCTGCCCCCGACCAAAGGGTGAATGTATGTTCTGTTTGCTATGCTGCTTACAGACTATGCCACTTATGAAAGCCATGGAACTTAAACTGATTCTGCTTTGGGCTTTTTGAATGTCTGTACATGTCAAATTTGCTTGTCTGGCCAAATACCAGGCAGCTTCTGGCACAGTAATTCTCAGGACATTCACTTAAAATTTAATTGAATCTTCCTTTCTCTCTAGAATAGTTAAACATTTTTAGCAAGGCTATGTTGTAAACAGATGTATGCTGTGACTTCACCTTACTACTGCCCCAGCTGCCCTTGAGTACTTCTCTGTGATAATTATTTTAATTAAAAAATTAATGGAATCTTTGAGGATGCCTCAGAAAACTGGAGGATTTTCCCTTGGGTCTTAGAAAGCACCAAGTGGTTGCCATATATTAAATTTTGGATGACTTTTCAATCAGCGTAGGTTAGCTACCCACATCTTTATCACCTTCTCAATATGATGAAGATACAATATATAATATGGGTAGGAACTGTGCTTCAGTGCACCATAGTTCTGACAAGCCAAGCCCCCATTTTTTAGTTGAGTGAGTCTCTTGTGCAGAAGTAAAAAAATTGAACTGTGGTTAAATGACTAGTATATGGGAGGGTGGAGGTCACAAATTACTTTTTCTTGCATCTTCACCCCAATTTTAGCCTTTAAAGAATACAAGTGTATTTAGACCTTTCTTTGTAAGGAAATCATTTGAAATGATATTCACCTGCAGTTGGCACCAAGTAAGGAATTGGTACATAATATGGATTTATTTTTTGTTCTAGTTTGGAGGTAAGAAGGACATCTTCCACTGTCTAAATTTTTATTTCAACTAATTATTTTTAGGCCAACATTTAATGAGCATCATCTATATCTTAACTTGAGCCAAATTTTGAGGATTGTCTAGCCACTGTATGATCCCTACCTACATGGGGAACTGTCTTCATGGAGAGAATTTTCTACAATTTTATGGTGCCAATATATTCTTCCTCCAGTCCACATCAAGGAAAACACTCAAGAAATGTATTATTTCATTAAGCAGAGTCATATTTGCACTAGGAACTCTACCCTTTGATTCACACTACTGAAAAATAATATACTCATTTAAGTTAATGAATGATTGGGGTTGTGCAGGTGCTAAGGTATATGGCTGACAGTCCAGAGGTTGCAAGTTCAAGGCCTTAGCAGAAGTGCTTACAGGGTGGTCCTGTCAGATCCCAACAAAGCTACAAATTCTGCTACATAATAGGTCTGTGCAAAGCGACTAGTATCTGCTTTGGATTTGGCCAATTCGGGGGACAGGGCTTCAATCTGGTGATTCCAATTGCTGTTCCGAATTGATTTGGCTGAATCTGATTTGGAGATTCGGCTGCTGAATCGCTAAATCACCCAGACCAAGCCCATTCCCCACCCGCTCTCCCAGCCTGGCAATGGCTGCCCCGCCCACCCCACCCCACCTCCCGGCACTTTGGAAAAAAATAGCCCCAATTCAGTGGGTGTTACCGGGTGGGGGGAAATCCCCACTGCCCCCTACTGCCCTGTGCTGCATGGGGGGCATGCACAAGCCCCACAAGGCTGCTGCAGAAGTGGTGAGTCCTGGGTTTTTTCTATTTTTTTTTTCTTAAAGCTCTGGAGCTGGGTTGGGTGGGACAGCTGTGGAGGGGCTGGAAGAGCAAGGGGGGGTTGCAGGGCTTGTGCAGAGTCCCATATGCAGTGTGGGGCAGTGGGGAGCAGCAGGGATGCCCCCCCCAGCAGCACCCACTGAGTCGGGACTTTTCTTAAAGCACTGGGAGTTGGGCAGGGGCAGTCATAGAGGGGGCTGGGGGGAGCGGGCGGGGGCTGGCAGGGGTCCCCCCATGGTCCCCTCCCCCTTCCTCTATCCCCTGCTTACCAGCTCTGAGTCCAACTCCAGCTCCATGCTGCAGCCAACGGGGAGTGTACAAATCACTGAAGCTCTCCGAACCTTTTCCAAAGATTTTGAGAGCTTCAAATTGATTCGGACCTTTTTATTGGTCCTGATTCGATTCATATTTGGAGACTCGGCCACCAAATTGGGCTGCATCTTCTCCAAATTGAATCACCACCCGAAGCTTCTCACAGCCCTACTACATAACTATCACAAGGACACAAAAAAGGAAAGGGAGAATGGATGATTACATTTTAATTGAATTTCTTCATGTTCTTTTTTTTACTACTGAGTTTAAAAATCTTCATCTGCAGAACATCACAATACTGTACTTGGTCTATGTTCTATTTTCCCTTTTTCCTAATTTTACATCTTGTGTAAGTGGGATCCCAGTCAAGCCTTCTCTCTCCACCGATGGGTGCTATACATTAATGCCATAATGTACTACATTCATTCTAGTCAGCATTAACAGGCTAAATACTGTTATACATCCCATCTTTTATGCCTAAATGACATTTAATAAATTTCTTAGAGATCCTAATATAGTTGTTCAAAGCACTGTTTCCATTATTTAACAGTAGTAGTAGTAGTAGGCATATGTCTGTCGCGTGACATGATAGAATTAGGTTCGCTGAACATAATCCTTGCTCAAAAGGTATGGTGAAGCTGCAATAACCTCTCCAGGATGCAAAAGCCTGGGCAGTGTATATAGAGACACTGAGATGCCCACACACCAATGTGCCCCTGTCAGCCTTGCTGGTTAATCCAAAGGAAAGGCAGAAAGTCCTAAGCTAAAATATTCAGGACTGGATTTCACATGCTCCTGGAGTTCAGGTATTTTAGAACTTGGTGATTTGGCTTAAGTCCATTATAAAGACAGGAAACTTTGAATCTGCAAACTTTGGATCCTGATCTGGGTTTAAACTTTGAATATTGTCAGAATGGATTTCACTAACTCTAATAGCTCTTTTCAGTACTCTTTGCCCTTCCTGCTGCTGCCATTCATTATGGACCTATTAGTGTGGTTTGGGGGGGGGGGCGGTGTCGGCATGGAATAGAAGCCCAATCTCAGTATAACAAAATACGTTCAAGATGTTAAAAGATGTGCAAAGGTAACATTATGTATGACTCGGTAAAAAACGTGGAATTATGAATGTTTTCATATGAATATTGACCTAGCACGTGGAATTAGTTATCAGTGTTCTGGCCCTGACCTGGCCCAGCCCCTCAATTTCACTCCAGGCTTAGGGTAATAATGATGACATTTGTCTGGGATAGATAAATGTCCAACATAATGGGGTCAGGGAAAGTGAAGGAGAACTGTACTGGCTGTTTACAATATGTTGTCATTGAAGAACCAGTTTGCAGTTTGGCCCTTTGTGTAAAGTGTTCATCAACAAACTAGCTCAAGGTGCTAATTGTGGGTATGGTGAGAAGATTGTGTTCAGACTCATGTACAGGGTATTTTTTTTTTCTCTTTTGGCAGTTCAGATTTAAATCAAGGGCTCCCCCTTTCTGCTTGATTGAAAAGGTAAACACATTTTAAAGGTATTTGATTTTATTTTGTCAGTAAAAATCTGAAATGGTATGTGCAATTTTGCCTGGCCTTAGTGTGACACCATCTCTTGGAGCTGACAGTGTAGATTAGTGACTTTGTATTTATATCTGTACCTAGAGGTTATGATATCTGTTTAAAAATCATGTTGTATATGGTTTGTGGCTGAAATGACAAGCTGGTAACTTTTTTCTTTCTTTATGACTTCTACCATTTTATTTCCCTTTTTTTGACTGGTGTAATTTTGTACAAAACAGGCAAAAAAACAAAAAGGAAAGTCACGAAGGAAAACAAGCAGTTTGTGACAATCCTTCATGAAAACAGTAGGGAGAATTGCCAAAGGATAGTAAAATGTTAAAAAAAAAAAGTAACTGAAATTCAGGAGAATAAAACCTCAGTCCAATAATTCATTTTTACCATAAGAATGTAATTTTAAAAAAGTCAGAGTTTTGAACACTTGCACCTATCAGAAGATATTTCTGTGTGTGGAGTTGGAAAATAAGTTTATAAAAATGTCTCTGTGACGGCCTGATCATAAGCCTAATGACGGTTATGAAAAGACTCCAACACTTTGAATATTAGACAGAAAGCAACATTTGATTTATTTCAGCTTCTAATTTGAATCTAGGAATAGAAGATCTGTTTGGTAGCAACAGTGCTGGATGCTTTCTAACCTATCCACATCCTTCTAGAAGTGTGAGGCCCCAAACTGGACACAGTACTTTAGGTGAGGCCTCATCGGTGATGAACGTAGTGGAAGAATCACTTCCCTTGATTTGCAGGAGATATCCCAGTTCATAAAATTCAGTATGTTGTTGAGTTTCATGGACATTGAATCAGGCCACTAATTTAATTGTAGATATAAGCGCCTTACTTACATTAGATTGTTTGTGCCTGAATTCCTTTTCTCGGTGTAACCGGTAGTGGTCTATCTCTGCTGTAGCTTCTTCTTTGGCTTGCCTCAATCTCTTTCCCTTTCCTGAACAGAAAATAGGCATATTAAATTCAGGTTGAAATTCTTTGTGACAACACACATGACAATCTTCTATCACAGCTTCATGTTTAAATAAAATCTTTTAAATAAAATTGTTTAAATAAAATCTTTTTTCATTGGTCGTAGTAGCCAGCAGATAATGGATACAGAGGTGGGTGATTCAATAAGAAAGAATATCAAAGCAGGTATTTTGTACTAACGTGTGGTAAACATGAAAGTAATCATAAGAGCAGGGTTTTTTTTTTAGTAGAGATAGTTGTGTCTTTACTGAATAACTACACGATGGAGAATGAGTACAATGTGCAGGATTCCCAGTGAAGTCAATGGAAGTTTTTATTAGGAAAGGTTCTTTAGCAATACCTAAGTAACTTGGGATCAATGAGAGCCAAGGAGAATTAGGTTTCTAAGTCACTAAAGTGCTCTGTCTTTAGTGCTTTAAGTAGAAGCACACATCAATAACAAAAAAGTTTACAGGTTTGCTAACGGACTGGAAGGAACAGCAAACCAGTTCTTTATCACGACATGTATGACAATTTTCTATCTCACTTCCTTGTTTAAATGAAGTATTTTTTTGATTGGTAGTAGTAGCCACCAGATAACAGATTTTAGTTGTCACTGATCGGAAAAGATATTATTCTGTAAGATTTGCTATATTGATTTGCTGCCAGGGACACTTCAGCCCACACCAACTGGATTTTATTTAACTCTGGCAGATGTCCAGGGTACTACACAAAGATACGCCTAACCATTAGCGAACTGAATTGCAACATCTATATTTTATTGTCTCCATTCCTTTTTTTTTGGTCAAATGCAGAGGTGGGTGATTAAGAATGAAAGAATATCAAAGCAGGTATTCTGCACTAATGTGTGGTAAGCATGAAAAAAAATTGTAAGACCAGGATTTATGTATTTAATATGAAAATTATTCTGTTAAGTGACCTTTAAGCTGTAACAAAAAGAAAAGCCCTCATACTGAAAAATCTTATGCACATGCTTAACTTTACATATTATGAATTTCACTTTGACTTATGCAAGTTGCAAGTAGTCTTATTTATGTGTAAGTCTTTGAAGCAGTCGATACTATCTACAGTATCTCCCAGGTTTGGCAAAAATACATTTAAGAAGAGAGGGAAAGAAAGGTAGAAACACAGGGCTTATGTTGTTGTTGTCATGTGAAACAAGTGCTGAACTTGTAATTGCTGAATTGTCATGCTTATGTACCTATTTGTTTTATAGGATGTTGGTGAAATGCCACAGAGCCTCACAAAGGGTTTGTTTTTTATATTGGATCTTATTAGCCTAGGAAAATCTATTATGTTGATTAATTAATGAGATGACAGTATTACTAGAGCTAAGATATTGGAAGTTGGCAACTGAGAAGAGGATTCATTAGTGTGACTGTTTAAATTTTTTTTGCTCGTTTCTGTTAACACCTACTTGACTTCAATTGTTTATGAATACTTTGGCAAAAAGACATTTTTGTTAAAATGTGCACATGCGCACCTTTGATGAATGTGTTGGAACGAAAAGTGTACCTTTTCCAAAATCCCCAGTGATGGTCTCTAACAAAATCAGAAAGTTGAGTGTTAACAGTTTTGGTATTCCTCAAAACCAGCTGCCCCCAACCACCTCAAAGTGCAACCCATTCACCCCAAATCCTAAATTCTTAAGACTTTCTTTATGTACTATAAAGAGGAAAGCAAGCAAGCAAGGAACTCCACTTCTTCATTATTCTGTTTTTCTGCTGAAGGATGTGCTATGTTTTGAGTCTAGCATACAGAAATTTGTCTTAATGTAGCCTCAAGTACTATTTCTCAGAAAAAGCCTGCTAGAGCCATAGTCACTGATTCTGATGTCTGTTATACCTGTACAAATGAGAAGTAAATCTGTTAAATTAATAGACTTAAACTGGTAGAAGAGTGAAAGGAATTAGGCCCTAACTAATTTAGGGCCCATATTTGGTACATGATTTGAACAACAGACTTGAGGCAATTGTTCATTTCTTTTTTTTTCTTGGTGCACTACATTGGAGTGGTTTCAGTTATACTGCACATGTGAAGGCATATCAGATGTGACATATAGCAATGCAAGTCCCCTGGGCACGGCACAACAGTGAAACTGAAGCTTGGAAAAAACAGTGCTTTGACTAGATCTGTGATTCAAGAAAATCTTTGGCAAAAACGACTGATTCAGTGGTAAATTATCAGCTCAATGGGCAGGCCAGTCCCAAGTCAGTACCTTCATTTCTGGGGGTAGATTTAGTAACAGAGACACTAAATTCCTTTTAGCGCCTCATTCTGATTTATAGGTCACTTGACCCAGTGGAGTATGCTTATTGTGGAATTCATGGAGCGATCAGGTGTGATTATATTAAAGCCTTCCTACCGCAGGAACTGTTGTGCAACCTTGTGGATTTACTGTATATTTTTATTTTCTAGAATGCTTTCTTGGATGCTTAATTACAGCTCTTGGAGTCTACTTGTCATCAAAGATCATTGGCAATGTGTATAGAACTGCAGGGAGCCCATTTCAAAACGTTTTCCCTGTTTTAAACCAAAATACAAATTCTTTCTTAAAATTTATCTTTACTGAATTAGATTTTATTTATTGAATTATGAACCAGCAGTGTGACATTGTTGCAAGGACGGCTAACGACATACTGGGCTGCATTGGTAGGAGCATTGCCATCAGATCAAGGGAAGTGATTATTCCCTTCTATTCAACACTGGTGAGGCCACATCTGGAGTACTTTGTCCAGTTTGGGGCCCCCCACTGCAGAAAGGATGTGGACAAATTGGAGAGAATCCACTGGAAGGTAACAAAATGGTTAGGGGGCTGGGGGACATGTCTTCTGAAGAGACGCTGAGGGAACTGAGCTTATTTAGTTTAGAGAAGAGAAGACCGAGAGGAGATTTAGTAGCAGCTTTCAACTACCTGAGGGCTAGTTGAAGGCTGCTACTACCTGAGGGTAGTTGAAGGGTGGTACCAAAGAGAATGAAGCTGGACTGTTCTCAGTGGTGGCAGATGACAGAACAAGGAACAATGATCTCAAGTGGCAGCAAGGGAAGTTTAGGTTCGATATTAGGAAAAACTGCCTCACTACGAGTGTAGTAAAACACCAGAACAGGTTACCAAGAGAGGTTGCGGAATCTCCATTATTGGAGGTTTTTCCAACCCGACTAGACAAAGACTTGGCTGGGATGATCTAGTTGGAGATGTTCTGCTTTGAGCAGGGGATTGGACTAGGCAACCTCCTGAGGTTCCTTCCAACCCTAATTTGCTATGATTCTACCTTGCTGTGTGAGTGGTCTGTCACTGATTCGTATTTCCAGAAGCAGTAAGTGAAAAATGATGTATTGATGTAAAGAGTTAAAAACAGCCTGAGCAACAGAAGTTAGAGTTGTGTCCGCATTTTCAGATCCAACCCAGTAAATCTGGATGTGTTGATTTTGACTTTCAAGTTCACCTTTTAGGCAGAGATTCTTTAAGAATGAAATCAATCTGCCAGATTCTCATTGGATGTAAATCAAGAGAGCTACATTTGATTTAGATGGAGCTCTGCCAGATTATACCAGTCAAAAAACTGGATGAGGATCTGGGTTTCAGTTGGATAATGAAGTAAACTTCCTTAAATCTAGGGGATTTCATTCTTATATTCCATCTGGGCCCATCTGTAATAAATGTATGAAAAATGTTGTCACTAAATAAATCAATACAAACATATAGACTAGGGACAGAAATTACACACAAACTAGTATAAGTGATTGAAAACTGGTTCAAATCTATAACACAACAGAAGTTCAGTGTACATAAACTGCTTTCAAAATGGTAAAACCAGGTTCAGATCAACCTAGATTTGTACCTCCTCTGCTGCTCCCCCACATTTGCAGGGTGGGCAGGCTAGTCTTGGCCTAAGCTGTCTGCTCCAGGTGAGCAGGGAAGCATGCTTTACTACTTCCCATCTTCTTGCCTGGGACAATACAGGTGTTTGGCTGCATTTCCAAATTAAAAAGTGAATGTCTGTTCACTTGCTTATTGACTCAGTCTATGCAAGTTAGATTAATCTATGAAGACTGAAATGATTCAGCCTCAGGTTTGTACTTAGTCATAAAATACACAAAATAGACTGATAGAAGTGGCAAGATTTGTTTTATCTATCTTCAACTAAAACAGATGAAGCAAAAAAAAATACTGTCCATGGTAGTGGGGGCCAACCTTTTTTGGCACGTGCCACAAATTAGCCCTGCACACTCCCTACATGCCACTCTGGTCCCTTTCCCTTACCCGATTTTCTCCTTAGCTTTCTGCTTCCTTTCCTGTGCTCCCTGTGTGATCTAATGCTTTACTGTCTGCTCCCTGCCCTATCTGCCACTGTGATACCTCTCCCCTCCCCAGTATGCCACATCTCACATACAGAGGTTGCCCATGAAACTACTGGTCTGCTGCATGTTGTAGCAGTTAACGTGTGTAAAAACCACTCTGCAGAGTGTCATGCACTGGATATGAAAATGGCAGCCATTTCATTTGTCCATGATACTATGCTATTTGCAAACTGGTAGCCTAGTGTTTCCCATTTAATTAAATGCAATAAATGCTAGGGCAAGAGTGCTGTGGACAGAATCAGTGATTGCCAACATATGTGATATATCATATGCTGCACCTGATTATGGTGAACAGAAACTAAATCTAAACCTGCTATTTTACTAGATACTTTCTTAGATCCCTGTGTGGTTCCTATGCTAGGTGGATCACACTGTTACCATCTTGATTATCCCCTTATATAAGTTTTTATTTTATTGAAACAGCAGGAAAGTATTTTCAGTGTCAGGGAAAAAATGTTTTCTCATTGCCATTCATGGTAATGCATTAGCTTAGTTATAAGTAAAGCACTGGTGTGATTTTTTTTAAAAATTTTTTTTAAAGAATTTGGTTTGTCAGATTAAATAGAAAATCAAGGTAAATCAGACACTTCTGAAAATGTTTAA